AGACTGGAAAGAACCTTTAATTTAACAAGAATCTGGCTGATGTAGTTTCAGCGACACAAAATTCATATTCCCAATAATTTTGGGAGTGAAAGCTGTAGTTTAGGAGATCAAAATACTCCCTGAAAACCATCTGATTTGTTCCTTTTTACTATTTGCTGTCATTATTTCACCTCATTCCAGCTGCTTAGTACTTAGGAATGCAGCAGTCCCAGAAAGCTTGAAGTGAGTTCCCGTTCACTTTCTGTAGGCGTTTGCTGTTCTGCTGTGTTCCTACCCAGTGGTGTAGCCGATCCCAGAGAATTTGATCCAAGGACCTATAATCTGCTAGGTGCTTACATCAAGCTCCACTTTTCTGATTGGATTGGCTGCCTACGAAGTTTCCCCACGGGGAAACTGAGTAGCATGATGATAATAGTTGATTGGCAGCTCAATGGCAGTGAAAGCAAGCCTCCTTGCCAAAACACGAATGGTAGTGCATTTTTAGGCATCTGTTTGTGCTCTGACAGTCACATCTCCACCTGCCTCTTACCTGATATCACATTACCTCAGTTGTGGGCAGGTGGGCAGGGTTTTCACAAAACTGGGACCTGTGCCAAGCCTAATTAGATTCATGGGATGGAATTTTTACTGTTTAGTATTAGATTGTAATGGATTATTGACTATTGCTTTATTTGATAGAAGTTGTTTGTTTTAAAGTTATTGTGACTTTTATATTGGATCAGATTGTTACTATTAATGTCTGATGTTTTATTATGTTTTTATATGTGTTGAAAGCTGTCCAGAGTGGCTGGGGCAGAGTATTGTTGATGTTGTTAGTTTGTTGTTCCCCACCTCACTGCTAATTAGATATTGTGATACCAGACATAAGCTGAGTAATGGTGGGATTACTTGGAAAGTGCATTTTTCTGTGTGGGGAAAATGTAAGAAGTGAACTGGGCTTAGAAAGCATTCCGTAGGATTAACTCCCTCTGAACAGCCATACAGGAAACTGTCAGTGAACAGGAACTATAGTGCAGCACCTCTGAGAGTCAGGGGACATTCACCAATTGCAGCACAGGACAGAGATCCCTGCTTGGAATAAGATGCTTCTAGTCACACAGAAACTTGAGAACCTTCTAGGTACAATGTTCTGAAGAACATTTAAATAATTAAGGACATGGTGATCGAGCAGCTATTTTTGCAGGCACCATTTTTTCCTTCTTTTGCTCTTTGTGGAATATATGGGAGATTGTGACGCCTTGCCCTTTCCTCAGACGTCTGTAAAACATCTGACTGATGACTCATTTGCAAAACCATGCTGTGGAGCCATTTTCCATTTCTATTATGAGCACTTTAGCGTGTAATCACTTGCTCCTAAAATATGACAGAATTAAGTAGTTGGGTTGAACCCATTATTTAGTCTCCCTCAGATCTTAGTCATGGTGGCAGGAGACACGCTGGCCATTTTCGTTTCACACGGCATTGACTTAATGGAGTGCAACAGACATTTAGACTTGAAACTGATACTGCTGCTCATGTACAAGCTGTGTATATGATGCTACAGAAGGTCAGAGCTACATTTGAACTTCCAAATCCCAGATGAATCGATGAGATCTCTGAATACACATGATCAGGAATAGGATGGACCTCATACACACACTATACCCTGAAAGCACATTCAAAGCACATTTTCTTGTGCTTTCCACTGTACTCCCTCTTTTCTTCCTCCTCCTTTTTCCTATAAATACAAACAAAAATGTGCAGTTGAAGGCCAAGGCCACATCTAACCAGACCCTTTCCAGGCCTTTTAACTATCTGAGTCATCTCTACTGCTTTTATCTTCCATTGCAGCTTTATCATGCATTTGGCTTTGTAGTTTGTTTTATAAAGTAGTCCTGAAAATGTTTTTTCTTGAAGGCAGGACAGGCATCCTTAATCAAATAAAACTTACAGCTGTTAATGTTGTTTCTGAAGCAACTGAGCTTGGGCTTACATCGACAGCTAGGACAGTTGTTAATGTTGAAAACAGATGCACCTCATTTGGCTCCAATACTCATATGTATGAACTGTGTTGTTCTGAAGTAATTTCTGACTGCCTTATATATGTTATTTATCTTATATTTGTAGATAGCCTTAAAAGAATCAGAGATTATTGCAATAATATTCTAACCTATCATATCAAAAATATTCTAACCTATCATATCAAAAATATTCTAACCTATCATATCATAAAAAGCAGAGACATCGCCTTGTCAACAAAGGTCCGTATAGTTAAAGCTATGGTTTTCCCAGTAGTGATGTATGGAAGTGAGAGCTGGACCATAAAGAAGGCTGATTGCCGAAGAATTGATGCTTTTGAATTATGGTGCTGGAGGAGATTCTTGAAAGTCCCATGGACTGCAAGAAGATCAAACCTCTCCATTCTTAAGGAAATCAGCCCTGAGTGCTCACTGGAAGGACAGATCCTGAAGCTGAGACTCCAATACTTTGGCTACCTCATGAGATGAGAAGACTCCCTGGAAAGACCCTGATGTTGGGAAAGATGGAGGGCACGAGGAGAAGGGGACGACAGAGGACGAGATGGTTGGATAGTGTTCCCGAAGCTACCAGCATGAGTTTGACCAAACTACGGGAGGCAGTGGAAGACAGGAGTGCCTGGCGTACTCTGGTCCATGGGGTCACGAAGAGTCGAACACAACTAAATGACTAAACAACAACATCATATCAATTCCCCATGAGAACTTCTTTCCTGGATTTAGTGAATACATCTAGTTTCTCCTAATATTACAATCCTATGCAGAAGTTTCATTGAGTCCAATAGGGCTTGCTCCCAGGTAAGTGCATATAGGATCACAGCCTCAGTCTTAGCTGCAATCCTGCATGTATGCCACATTGACATCACTATGAATTACTTCTGAGTAGACATGCATAGGATTACTTTGTTAGCCTTCCACTGATGCGAATCCAAACACTGCTTAGACACCCCAATATTTCCAGTACCAAAAATCGGAATGCAACAGCAAATGAGATATTTTGTGAGAGGTTAGTTTCTTCTCAAATGCTATTGTGAGTCACTATCTAATACCATGAAACAAGCACTTTATTACCATATGGCATGTGCACTGTGCTATAGAGTTATATCAGTTCTCCACAAGTCTCCAGAATGACTCACCCTGCAGTCCTGATAAGAGCTTGTTCTGGGCTGACACAGCAGAAAGGCAGAGCCGTCTGACACATGAGCTCGGTGCAAGGTAAATCCAGATACATGATGGCTACAGAAATATTACATCAATTAAAATTCTTCCCACTTCATTGCTCTTTTCCCAGGTGGGGAACCTGCAGATCAGGTTCTTAATACAGCTATGTAGCTCTTAGAAGAAAACATTATCCCTGATGTGGTGCCTTTGTTTCATTACTAGGATAACATCAAAGGTAATGTGTTCTTCTATACGTAGGAGCTATAAGTGTGTGTTCTACACCTGGAAGAGCAAGGCAGAGGAATGCAGATGTTTAATCCAAGTGAATACTTGTGAAATTTAGGCGGCAATCCTCAATCCACTTACCTAGGAGTCTGGGAATAAGCTCTTCTGAATTTAGTGGGACTTACTTCTGAGTAGACATGTAGGGCTGCACTGTTAGGCATAAAAAGCACATGGTGAACCATTTTATCTTGCTTTTATTAGCTTCCTAGTGATTAAAAAACAAACAAAGCTTATAAAATAAACTGCATTTTTAAATACATTTTGATAATTCCAGATTTTTCTTAATATATATTTATTCAGAAACATTAAATCAGACCCAGGTGATACATTAGACTGTGTTTTAATATATGATTGCCTTTAAACAAGAATTATGCATAAGGACAAGTATACCAGTCTGGAAGGCTCCTGTGGATTAAAAGAATATATAAAGCCCAGTATGAAGGAAATGAAGTTCTTTGTCTTTCCCTATATGCAAGGAACACAATGTAAAGCCCATTCATTGAATTGGCTATCTATTTCCTTGTAAGATGGGATTCTCCACAGAACCCAAGGAGGATCTTCTGCCCATGGCACTGGACACACGATATATATAAAGTTCTATGGGCACTTGGGAGTTGCTTGCAGACAGCCTTCTGCTCTTCCAAAGAAATATGCTGAAGGTTTGTAAATAAATAAATAAAAATAAACAAAAGCAACAAAGGAGCAAAACCCAAAAAAAGTGGGTTGTGTTTAATTCCAATGGAAATAAACTGAACGTACTTATAAAGAGTTTGAAGTGCATGGATTTTAAGGGGCTAACATTGCAATCCTATACACGTTTTCTTAGAAGTCCCACTGAGGTCAAAGGGAATTATTCCCAAGTAAGTGTGTGTAGGATAATACACATTTTCTCTGGGTTGTGCCCAATGTCCCATTCATTTCCCATCTTTGAATACTGATTCAGTTTTGAATTAAAAATAAAGTTTTTAAAAGCACAAGAACCTAAATCAGCAGCTTCAAGCTTGTTTAACTCTGGGTTGGATTAAGGAGAGAGTATGTTTCTGAAAGACTCATTCATAGATTTCATTTGGTCATTTAGCACGTCACAGTATTCACTCGAAACGTGGTGTAGGTTTGTGCTTCGAGGAGTTTTAAAGCACATCTTTGAAGAGGTGTGTCAATAGAAAGGCTTCCTGGGACCCCTGAACTTCAAGGGACATCTACTAACCATCTGGAGTTGATGACACACACAACAGTACAGGAAGTCCTTCAGGGAGTGTCCTTTGGGAAGGACTTGCGCTTAAGACTACTTCAATGGCCACAGCATTATTTTGTTACGTGTGTTCAAGGCACTGCATAAATATCAAGTGGCACTACCTAATGCACTTAAAACCCTATTTCTCAGCTGAGGACTATTGCAACGGTATACATCTATCGCTATGTGCTGATTATACTTGGATTTGCTTTTTCTGACGTAGTGCGGTACTGGCGACACAGCTGATGCTGAGAAGGTGGAAGTGCTGCAGACTGGAAGATTCCCTGAGAAGAAACCAAGGCCTTTTACTTCTTCTCATGCTTCTTGGTTAGTTGCCCTCTCTCCAGCTGCAGGCTCCCACTGCCATGCCTCGCCTTCTCCTTTTGCTGGCTCTCCTGGGAGAGCTGCTGGACAGCCTGCTGAATGACTGTGTGGACAATCTGCTTGCTCACGTTCTGCAGCTTTGCCTCTTCTTGTTCATTTCCACATTTATCTCCTGACCAGGAAAGAAGAGAATATGAGTTTAATTCATATTATGTGTTACTTTTACTGTTGTTAGCCTCTCTGAGCCCAGCTTTGGCTGGGGAGTGCGGCATATAAATAAAATCTTAATAATAATAATAATAATAATAATAATAATAATAATAATAATATATGCATACATATATACAACCTAAAACTGAGCCACCCTATATTTCAAAACAAGATTCCTTTCTCCAAGAGAGTGGTCTGTTATATAGCCATGCCTGTGACACATCTGCCCCCTTGCTAAAGCAAGTCCAGAGTTGTTTGGCTGTGCATCACAATCTGTACTCATGAACAAGCTCCCATAGCACAAACCCTTTGCAATTACCGTATTTTTCGCTCTACAAGACGCACCAGACCACAAGACGCACCTAGTTTTTGGAGGAGGAAAACAAGAAAAAAAATATTCTGAATCTCAGAAGCCAGAACAACAAGAGGGATCACCGCGCAGCGGAAGCAGCAATCCCTCTTGCTATTCTGGCTTCTGTGATAGCTGCACAGCCTGCATTCGCTCCATAAGACGCACACACATTTCCCCTTACTTTTTAGGAGGGAAAAAGTGAGTCTTATAGAGCAAAAAATACGGTATTTTAATTAGTGGTGGCTGCTGTCCACTGAGACTCATATGGTGGAAGCCAGGGAGGACAACAGTAGGTGGAGCCAGAGCCAACAGCAGGTCCTCCTTGCTAGTTCTACAAGGACAACACTGAGACTATGGAGGAGGAAGCTGGCAGCCAGGGCCAACCAATGGACTGGTTGTTATAAGTAAGACAGCAAATAGGTATAGGCTGCCTGAGGGTGGGCCAAGGTTGGCGAGGCAGTGCTCCATTTGTTGTAATAGACCAGCCTACATTGATTTTAATTGGAAATTTAATTTTCTTAAATTTCCTAGATTGTACCCATATTTCTTGAGATTTCTCATCCTGGCAAGTGGCAGTGTCTGCTTTCTAACTTCACAGATAATATAACAAATAAAGAAGGCTATTTAAAAATGACACTCATCATATGAAAGGGAACAAACATTTGGGAATTACTAAATATCCTTCCTGCAAGAGCAAGCTGAAAGAGAATCATTACATTAAGCAAACATTGGCCTGTGAGTGTGGAGAGCCTGTTCCTTCTGACACAATACTCACAAATGGCACATTTATTATCAACTTATCAGCCACTGGAAATAGTGTTGTTGTCTTTATTGTAATTATAATCTCTGGCTGCTGTTCTCCAGCCTCATGTGTTTGCCTCAAAAACAGGCTGTGAATAATGATGTGGGCCATCTGTGCTCTTAGATAAAGGGTAATTAGAAGAGGTGTAGTGACTCTGGAGGGTGCTGCTGGCAGCAAAGGATAGTTGGGTTAAATAAAGTTGTCCCAGGTAAAAATGTCTACCAATGTGTCTTGGAAATAATCAGCACACTGGGCAATTAAAAAAACAAACACATTTTAACTTGTCAGAAACTGATCTCTTTTTGTTGGTGTTTCACTTTAGTCCCAATACATTATTTGGAAGTAAGTCCCATTCATTTAAATAGAATTCCCTTATGGATCTCATTCTTTGAATTCTTGTAGCACATGCAGCAATTGTGGCCTAGGCTGCAGTCTTTTTAAAAAATAATAAATGTCTGAGGAAAATCCAAAAAGTTGAAAAAATGACTTGTGGTTGTGGCACTGGTTTTTGTTTGCACAACGTGTCATTTTATACATAGATGACTGGGGCTGAGGGATCAAATATATCTATATCTATACTAATAATAAATTATTTCACTAAATGATTTCTCATGCAAAACGCTGTGTAAGCTTGTACCTTTGTAGGGCATGAGTGCTAATTACTTACCTGAAATTGGTTATTATATAACATATATCACAGTGGTTTTCAAGAAATCAATGTGACTTACACCAAGACTAACTTGCCCCATTGATTTCAGTTCGAACTTAATTTTACTTAATCTGGATATTGCCGCACAGCTCCGAAAGAGAATAGATATTACCTGGTTGAAGCTTATAGGCCTAAATCTGCTCTACATGTTAATGAATTTTAATGAGTTATTAATATTTCTTTTTAATGTTTTACTATTTTGTTATAAAGTTTATTTGTTTGTCGTACATTACCCAAAGCTCCTTTTAAGGAAGGGCAATTTATAAAAATCTTAAGTACCCAAGTAAACAAATCAGAATTTATTTCAATGAATAGTGATTCTCCTGCCAAAGAAATCTTCACCCAGAGAGCAAGAATAAATCTTCAATCCTAAACACACTTACTTGAGAGTAAGTCCCATTGAATTCAGTCACATTTACACCTGAGTAACCATGTTGTTGAAAACATAGGAGTTTCTTGATTAAAACAGACCTTTTAATAATCCTGTTTGCAATTATCTTATTGTTCCTTAAACTACATTCTTCAAAATCGATTTCGCACCCTAATGGGCTTAACTCCAGAATTAGTGACTTGAGGACTGTGGACAGAGGGAAGAGAACATAGGAATTCAGACTGGACCATAGCAGCACAATTTTATGCATATCTACTCAGAAGTAAGTCTCGTTGTGTTTAATGAGACTTACACCTAGAAGAATGTGTATAGGATTTCAAGCTGTGAGCTGTAGTGGTTAGAATACCAGGCTGGGAAAGAGCTGAGTCAAATCCCCATGCAGCCATGAAGCTCCTTGAGGACCTTGGGACCAGTAATTAAAAGACCCTGATGTTGGGAAAGATTGAGGGCACAAGGAGAAGGGGAAGACAGAGGACGAGATGGTTGGACAGTGTTCTCGAAGCTACCAGCATGAGTTTGACCAAACTGTGGGAGGCAGTGGAAGACAGAAGTGCCTGGCGTGCTCTGGTCTATGGGGTCATGAAGAGTTGGACATGACTAAACGAGTAAACGACTAAACAACAACAACATTTCTGTGAAGAGAAAATGGGGGGTTCCCTAACAGTGCAATCCTAATTATGTCTACTCAAAAGTAAGTCCGCAGAGTTCAGCTGAAATTTCTCCCAAGTAAATGGAGTTCGGACTGCAGCCCAAGAATGCTACTTTGAGCTGTTTGGAAGGAATCATAGAATCATAGAGTTGGAAGGGAACCCAACGGTCATCTAGTCCAACCCCTGCAATGCGGGAATATCAGCTAAAGCATCATGACAGATGGCCATCCAACCTCTGCTTGAAAATCTCCAAGGAAGGAGAGTCCACCACCTTTCGTGGGAGTATGTTGCACTGCTAAACAGCTCTTACTGTCAGAAAGTTTTTCCGAATGGTTATTCAGAATCTCCTTTCTTGCAACTTGAAGCCATTGAGTTGAGTCCTACCCTCCAGAGCAGGAAGAAACAAGCCTGCTTCCTCCTCCATGTGACAGCCCTTAAAATATTTGAACATGGCTATCATATCTCCTCTTTTCCAGGCTAAACATACCCAGCTCCTTCAAACGCTCCTCATGAGGCTTAGCTGCCAGACTCTTGATCATCTTGGTTGTCCTCTTCTGCACATGTTCCAGCTTGTCAACATTCATCTTAAATTGTGGTGCCCAGAATTGGGCACAGTATTCCAAGTGTGGTCTGACTAAGGCAGAATAGAGTGGTACTATTACTTCCCTTGATCTGGACACTATACTTCTGTTGATGCAGCCTAGGATAGAATTAGGGTTTTTTTGATGCTGTATCACACTGTTGACTCATGTTAAGCTTGTGGTCCACCAAGACCCCATGATCCTTTTCACATGTACTGCTAGTAAGCCAGGTGTCCCCCATCCTATATTTGTGCATCTGGTTCTTCCTGCTTAAGTGCAGAAGTGGGAGATAATGCAGTAAATAAATAAATGAGAATGAATAACAAGATCTGCTTGGGGATTATTATTTTTTAAGGTGAATTTAGAACCAGCTTTTGCTAGAGATAATTTTTCTCCTCTCTCTAAATAACTAAACAAACAAACAAACAAACAAACAAACAAACAAACATGATTTGGAGAAACTTTCAAACTAGGGAAAGAATTCCTTATGTCTAACCACCATGTGACCTTATGATTCAGAGAAAGGGAGAGAAAGACACCTATAAGGACAAACAGCTAGTAAACACTTTTTTACACACAGGCACAGCCCTGTTTTCCTGCTGAAGAACAGTCTTTCCATTTATCAGCCTCCCACTAACTCAGACCCCTCCCGTATGCTTCCCCGCAGTTTTCTTTGGCCCAGAGCTGTTGGGACGAAGAAGAATAACTTTATTTCATCTGGTCCCAAACAAAACTGACTCAACAATAGCTCCGGATGGTCCTCTGCGGCGTTTCTGCCCGCATGCCTGTCGGGACAGCATATCAACAGTCCCGATCTGCATTTGGGTGGAGGTGCGCGCGTGTGTATGTGTGCAGGCACGCATGCAGGCATGTACGTACGTATGTTTGAGGAAGAGCTCCGCCCCTGCTTCTCAAGGAGAGCAGAAAAGGCCCACCGTGCAACGATCTAAGGGAGTGAATGAGTGTGTGTGTGTGTGTGTGTGTGTGTGAGAGAGAGAGAGAGAGAGAGAGAGAGAGAGAGAGAGAGAGATGAAGTAAATACGTTACCTGGAGCAAACACCATGGTCTCTTCCTGCCAAGGGAACAGTATACTGAGAGGACGTGGATAGAAGGGGGGAAAGGCGGGAGCCGGTCGAGCGAGAAGCACCAGAGCGTGCGCTGCGCAAGGACTCCCAGGAGAAGTAGCACCTTGGACAGCTCCCAGAGTAGGACAGCGGAGTCAACGGCGCGGTGCTTCCTCGGCGATTACCTCCACAATGCACCGCTCTGGAAAGGAGGAGGAAGAAGAGGAGGAGAGGGGAGGGGGAAAGAGAGACCGGGACTCAGCTCATATCTCATTCCTTCGTCTGCTGTACGCACAGCAATGCTGGACTCTGCAGCAGCAGCAGCAGCAGCAGGGGAGGGGGAAAGGGAAGCGCAGAGGCTCTCGGCAGGAGGATAAACTAATTGCTCCTAATTAACTCTTCTTGTCAACCTCAGCGCTGGATGCAGCAAGCCTGACATTTACGGGGTATTTTGCAAGGGTAAGCTTAAAAGCCCCTTGTTAAGCAGGCTCTGTGGAGTTTTCGGGACGTTGCAGCTTAGCATCTCATGCAGGTCCACCACCGCAAAAAATAAAATAAAATATCGTAATTAGCTGTAGATCTTTCCTGGGTCCGTCCACTGTAGGCAGCTTCAAGAGAACAGAAAACAGCCGCTTGACACTGGAGCTGGCGGGTGGGAATACGATGCAGAAAATATTTTCGCTGGTATCTTTTTATCCCAGTGTAGTCTTAGTATTGCCAGATGATCACGACTTAACAGAAGCAAGAGTGACTTCTGAAAACGTCTCATCACTTGAGCTGGTTATTGCATATGCCACTTTCGGCATACAGGAAAAACAAATATACTGTTATGGGCTTGGGGGTGCCAGACCCCTCTAAATTCCTGGATTCAATAAAAGCTAATCAAGCCAGGCTAGCCTCCTGGGTTCTGCCTGGGTGATGAGCCATTAAGAGAGCAAAGGAGAGGGGACTCTGTGCCAGATGACATATGGCTGGGGGGCATCCTCCAGCTCTTAGACAAAGCCTGAGTCTTGAGGGCAGAGTTTGCTGTGTTGTGATGTAGAGGAAAAAGCTGCAGGCTCCAAAGGGAGAGCGAGCAAGCGAGTGCCATGGTTGATTTCTGCTTAACACACAGTGTTGCATGCCACCCCAATCTTCAAGCAGTGCAACATTCCAGGAGTTCTGAGTACTCACTCAAGATAAGGCACTTACACAGCGGAGACTGTGGTGTCTTTATGATATGTGGTTAATTTACAGATATATACAACCTGAACCTATGATGAAAGGGTTCACAGGATTAACACCCCAAGAAGGTTCTGCTTCTCCCATAGTCATAGCCTTGGATTCAAGTAGAAATATAAGCCAAGGCTCTTTCTGCTTTTCCAGCCTGAATGAAGTTCGTGTGGCACTGGCGGTCCACAGGCCAGTTTGGTATCTTCTAGTTTTGGCGTCTAACTGTTCACCTTCATCATGATCTTTAACTTCATTCTCACCATTAAGGCCGACCCACCCATGAGGCAAGATGATGTGAGACTGGCTGAGGCAGTAGCCTGCTGTCAATCCTTCTCTCCCCACCCCCACCCCAGGCTGTTCTTGGTGTAGATCGTCCCTCATCCTTTCTTCCCTGGTTGGGGGGGGGGGCTTTGGGGAGTGCACCTCAAGTGCCAAAATGGGCCATCCCTGCTCACCATTGTGCCTGAACTATTGGGCCCCTGAGTTCTCCTTCAACTCCTTCAACACTTCTTGGCCCTCAAAATGCAGCTTTTGGTAAGCATATCCTGTTGTATAATTTCTGATTATGATGCCCAATTTGCTGTGATGCAAAAAATAAAACAAAGTTTATGTGGGTTGTTCCAAATATTCTGAGAGGAAAGGCTTCATTTGTTTGTTAAAGTCACAGCCTCTTTCCTGAAGGACAAAAATCGCAAAATAAGAAGGCCAAGGGATTCAATATACTGTTTATTTATAGAAATGATATTTATTTTCAGAACTAATAGGTGTTCTAAGTTGTGTTCATGCTAGGATTTCTGGTACCAGATCAATGTTCACTGAAATAGACTCCGTTATGAATGACATCTAACATTAGGTTATGGCAAAGTTGCATACTTTTATAAATATATATAAACAGATCCAATGTCATCCAATGACTGCAATAAATAATTGAAGCTGGTCCAATGACCAGCAAGGAAACTACCATATTTTGTCCCATCCCAATGATTCAGGGTTACATTCAAGATATTAAAATCTAATAAATTAAAATAATGCCACCTGGACTCCCTAAATGATAGCACAAATGTCTAAGAATGTAAGACGAGCCCTATTGGCTCAGGTCAAAGGCCCATCTAGCTCATCATCATGTTCTCAGTGGCCAATCAGATGCTTCTGAGAACAAACAGAACACTGCAAAGCAGCACCGTCCCTACTTGTGAATCTCAGCAATTGGTATCCAGAGGCATACTGCCTCCGACATTTAATCTCTTTGTCGCTATCTACCTCAATTCCTATTCTTCAAAAAATTAATCCAGACACAGGGATCTGCACTACTGCTCCCATTTTGAAGACAAATATTTCATTGTTTCTCTGCAATCTTCTTCTTCTCCTTTAGAACACTTTTGTCATCCAAAACTCCCAACCACCTCCCAACTGGGCTTCCTGCCACAAATGTCTACAAAGCATTTTGTTGTTGATCTTGATGTTTTAAACAAAGTACTCCTTGAAGGGTTTTGTGTGTGAGAGCATGTCTCAGTTATGGCTTACTTGTATTTCTCTTGCCAAAGTGTACAAAAGATAACGAACAAGGCATGTGTGGGTAACGAAGAGGTCACAACAGTGGCACAACTGTCATTTGACTTTCAACTGAATTTGCTTATGTGGCCAAAAATTCCAGAAGGTGTATGATCTGGTTTTTTCCATGCCATCTCAGGCTGGTTACCTTAACACTAACTTCTGCAGCCTGAGAGTCAGTCCGTTTCTTTTAAAATCACATTTCTAGCCATTAAGGGCATACATTTTTATTCAGGAAAGGAGAAGGCAGGGTTAGGAATGGTGTTTACATCACAGAGATGAGAACACTTGCTCAAAGACCAGTCCAATCAAAATGTACTCAACTATACTAAGAATTGAATTTACTGCGTTGCAGTGTGCCACTTTACCACTTTTTATTTTTTAAAAAAACTTATCCTGCTCCTTTTATCATCAGTCAGGTATTTTTTTTTCTTACCACTTACCTCGTCAATAAATGCTTACTCAGTTTCTGAACACCAGAAGGATGGATAGAAAAAACCAAGGGCCAGCCTGCTTCACAAAACGTGAACATAATTGTTTTCCTGTCTTCTGTTCTTCCCCACTGTGCCTTTTCCACCTCAAACCTTTCATTTCTTTTCCAGAACATGAGCCTCTAGAAATGTCGCCACCTTTTAAGCATCTGCATTAATACTGAAATCAACAAGCTTCTGGGTGTAACAACCTACAAATCTTAATAACCTATAAATCGCTACTGTGGTGGAAATATAGCCATGGCCAAATACTGAATGGTCCATGAGAAAGCAATCAAAACTGTAATAATTATAGTGTATCAGTGGGAAATGTGACATAAGTCATTATCGTATTGAGGCTAAACATTCTCAAAATCCTGAAGCTAGAATGTCTCCTGGCATTTTGAACAAATAAATATGAATACTAGTAGATCTCATGCTTGCATTAGCATGTTTAAAAGGAGACATGCTTTTAACAGAAATGTACACGTTGGATTGTATGTATATCATTCTTAGTCTTTCTACAAATACATGCATACAAGGGGCTGCTACCTGCTTCCCAACCCCGGTGTGATGGCCTGGGATTTGGACTCAGAGGCTGAACCTGAGGAATCCCAGCCTGCACAGGAGTCCCTGCCTCCAGAACCAGCTGAGCCAGGGCTGGCGCTTGAGCCTGAAGGGTCCTCACCTGTGCTGGATCCTCAGGTGCAGGCACCAGCTGAGTCTGCTCTGGCTCCTGAGGTGATGGAGGACCCATTGCCTGCAGGTGCTCCACTCTCAGCCCCGTCAGGGGAAGATGAGGTTGCCTCTGGGTCCGGTAACCCTCCAGCCTCTCCTGAGTTGCAGAGGCTCAGGGAAGAGAGGCGGAGGGAACGAAGTTCCCACAGGAGGAGTGCTTGCCTCCAGGCCAGGAGAGGGGAGTCACCTCTGGACCGGGGCCGCCCTATGCCTCGGGGCAGATAAAAGCCAGCCAGCCCCAGTCCCAGGTTGCGGGAGCAACACTGTTGGTAGCCTGTTCCTGCCTGCACCCTGTCCTGCTCTCCTGCCAGAGTTCCTGACCTCACCCGACTCCTTGCCTTGGACCCCGCTTCAGTTTTGATGGACAGCCTCCATACCGCACCCTCGACCTCGGACTGGACTTGGACCTCGCTGCATGGTTAACCCTCGGGACCAGCACACCTGCCTAGCCATTAACACCCCTTCACCTGGCCAACCCTTCCTCCCTTTACACATAACCGAAGACATTTTACATTTCACCCATCCCCTTGCCTTGCTTATCCCCTCACAGCTCGCTCAAACCTCCACCCCTCCTTACAGCTCACCCCAAAATACCCCATCATCCCCTTTAGGAGCATGCGAGGGACCTTAGAGAAGGGTTGAGCAGACTGCTCTCTGAAGCAATCCCTGCCGTTCAACACTGCTCCAGTGATGTTTAACAGAGTAGGGTGCTTCAGAAGTTTGCCAAGCACCTCCCACTCCTCTTAAAGGGCTTGCCTGTGATGCCTGCAACCTGCACAGCTTGCCTGCCTGCTGGTGTCATACTGGAGTTGCCATGAATGTCTACTGGCAGCCAGACAACTGCTGTGTGAAGAGAGCTTTACAGTTCTATTATATGGTAAGATATTATGCTATTTATTTGCATTTTGTTATATAATTATGAGGCATAGCTGGCAAATTGTTGGCGGGTACATGTCTAGTGAGTGTGTTACTTAACAATATGCATGATAGTTTCAGTACTAAAGTCATGTTAATCTGTTTATGTCACCCACAGTAATTCATTTCAAATACTAAGGCAGGTGCTCCAGTCATCGTTCACTACTTGTTAAGCACATAAATTGGATCCTTATAGTCATCTCTCTCTGACTTATAAACCAAGAATCTTATAAGCAAATTGGTTTTAGGTTATATAAATTCACTGAAGTTGCATATCAGACATTCTAAAACCAATATATCGAAAAGTAAAATAAAATAAGAATGCTGTAAAATGTATAGACACATTACATTATGTATTCTAAAATATTTGTGTTTTATTTACAAGACAATTTTCAAACGGTTGGCATTTTAAATTTAACTTAAACTTGTCTATTCATTGAATGATTCACAACATTGTAACAAAGATCAACAGTTAGATGCAATTTTATTCTAATACTTAAAAATGTTAGTCTTAATTACTATTTAGAAATGCAATAGGTGATTTGACACACAATAATTTATAAATACATATTCTAATAACTAATTCTAACCCAATGTTATAAACATTTTTTTGTCCAATGTTAATTAAAATTTAACCTTGATAATAGAAGTATGTTAAAAATGTGTGGGGAAATTTCTTTAAAGACTTGAACGGACTTCAGCCTTCTCTTACTGCATGGAAATCCCATCCTACAGTTCATTACAAATGCAATTGTAATCACTGAGACATCTTAAAGCATATCTGAATGGTAAGTTTGTATTTCAAATAAAACTGGTTCATTAATTCAGGGCAGGCAGGCTAAGGAAGTATTGAAATCACTTCACAAGCTTAAAATTTTTTTCTACTCAAAATGATCCCAAGATCATACATTTCCTATCAATTCCCTGAAAGCATCTCGCGCTAGACATCTCTGGAAGAGATAGACAGGACCTGTTCCAAAAAGCTGATGATTTTTTAAAGCGGCGTAACTGAACCTAAGCTCTGACACTAAGCTGCAAACCGAAGCACACTTCATAGCAAATAAGCCTAACTAAACATTAAGCCTAGCTGAACTTAGATTGCTTTCCAAACAGAAATGCTTAGGATTGGGATGTAAATCTCAAACACTAAATATCACAGCTAACTGTAACGCAGCCAAAGGCTACAAATCTATACACACTAGCTACGGGTGATCTCCACTGAATTCAGTGGATTTTCGGAGTAAACACACATAGGATTGCACTGCAAGACTAGTGGAATGCTTAGTTACTGAGCAGGGAATATGGTATGAAATCATAACAAAATGCAGCTGTGTAACTCTAAATCCCTTAAGGAATATTGATACGTGTTGTCATTATCTCTATCCTTTCCTAATCACATTCCCATCATCCCAGTTCCTCCAAGTTTCATGAAAAGGCTGCTCAAGTAGGCCTAGTTCTTACCAAAGTGTTGGGCTATACACTTTACAGACTGCAAGTCAAGCTCAAATGAATGCTCCCCATAAGGAAAACTACAATCTTCTGGAGAAGACTAGGCTATAATCTTTCTTCTTGGTGTCTAATTTTCCACTGAAGCAATTTGTGTAGAAGAGCATCATTGTGAACTGCAACCCAGTGTGAAGAGGCATAGTCTACTGAAAACTAGGTTGTAGAGTCTTTAAAGCTATCCTATAGTAAGCTTCAACCCAACTGCCTGATGTTCTGAACCATTTGCTTCAGATCTTCAAGCTATACCTAATTATCAATCATTTAAGAACAGTAAAAAAACCTTGAAAGAAAGCAAGGATTTACTACAGCTGACTGTAGCAGAGTGACACTGCCTTCCTCTACTGCTTTTCTCTACTTCTTTTCTTCCCTGTAACAATATGCCTTGGCTCCTTTTAACTCTGCACTGGAATAAATCATGCTGATGGAAGAGCATGATGATGGATCTGTGCATTCTTGGACAATGGCATGGAGACCAGAAAACCCCGGTAAAGGAACCTGAGTTTGTCAAGTGGTATTTGCACCTTTCCAACTGTAAGCAGCAGTGCAACAGCTGTTCCCTGCCATTTCCATTTTCTTAGGGCTAGGCTCCCTAACAGAATAAGACAAAGCCTCCTAAAATAAGACAAAGACAACTGTTATTTTTGTCTTGAGCTGAAGACAGGAATAGCAAAGCAAAATGCAGGCACATAGGTAAGGCGGGCCAGGGAGGAAAAACATCTGCAAGACAGAGAGTGGTTCTAATGACCTTGGGATACACCAACTCACCAGCTGAAGAAACAAGATAATTCCCAGTGTTCAGATGCCCACACAGCTACATTAAAAACTTGTAGTGACCATCACAGTGGATTAACAGACAACTGCAAAGAGCTATTATATAAAGACTAAAGTCATACCTTCATGAGTTTTGGTTAGAGGGACAACAATACATTTCTTATTTTAAAATGATTTTTTGCATTCATTGTAATTCATAATTTCAAAGTAAAAAAAACTGTTGTACCAGACATTATTTATTTAAACTGTTCAAATACTCATTAATAGCCCAATCTTCAGGCCCTTGGAACTAAAAGACTTGGAGTGACATACTTACATGGAACAAATTTCCACTGAAATCCATGAGGCTTACTTCCACATTAACAGCTGCAATCCAGTGAAGCCCTAATGGGCATACATTTTGGTTGGTTCAGCAGCTTTTCCTGTCACTTGTCACCATCCTGAATGGACAATCTCTAAGGTATTTAGAGATTCCCTTGATCACAGGAAGCATACTTATGATTGGGATGCCAAAGCAACTGAAATCAATGGAACATAAATAGTTTAAATTGACATATTTTAGTGTAATTTCCCTGTGCACTGGAGTGTAAGGCCTTCCATTCCACATGCGTAGAGTTTACTAGACATGCAATGAAACCCAGAGTTTTAAGAGGAGTAAAATACTGGCTAGAGTCTGACTCTGTTTTTTATTTATGCCTGGACCGTTGCCTAAATCAAAGCCTTCTCCCATGTTTAACGTCACTGATAGGGTAGTTCTTTGCTGCAAATTTCAAACTATATTTCTACTCTCAAAATCCCTTTAAAAATACTTTTTCCAATGGTGAGTTATCAGACCAAACATTTTTCAACTTGTGGATTCTTCTGCTTTTAACTACAAGCTATAGTTTCCAGCTGTTGTTCTGCCTCTGCAGCCATAGCTGCTGCCTGTAATTGTTCTGTTTCACTTTGGAGAGCACTGGTTGTGGTTACTTGTTTCCTTTCGCTGTGCATATTGTTTTCATGTCTCTTTAAATCAGATGCTTTGGCAAATGCTTTAGTACAAGAACCACAGACAAAAGGCTTTTCCCCTCTGTGTCTTCTTTCGTGGTCTTTCAGGTGAGACTTGTGCTTGAAAGCTTTGTCGCACATGTGGCAGGCAAACGGCCGTTCGTTACTGTGAACCCTCTCGTGCTTCTTTAGGTCTGGAGCACGAATGAAAGACTTCCCACATACTTCACAGCTATATGGCTTATAGCCTGTGTGGATCTTTAGATGCTCTTTCAAATGGGCTTGGGTGGTAAAGCCTTTAGTGCACATTTCACAAACAAAGGGTCTATCCGCAGTATGAAGTTTTTCATGTTTTCTCAATCGTGCTTCGTCTGAAAATGTTTTGCCACATGCCTGACATGCAATCTGCTCTCTGTGACCATAAAGCAAATATTCAAATTTCATGTCGCCAGCTGCTGTTGTCCATGCTGGCGTCTGTTCATCCTTGACTTCACTGATGCCATCGTTGAATGCTAGAGCTTGAGGAGTTTGAGATCCTAGTTCTTTTGTTTCGGCAGTGTCTATGGACTCTACTTCCTGACCGTAGCAGTTCACTTTTCGAACCTCTTCACTGCCCAGCTCTTTCAGAATTGCTTCCTGAACTCTCAGAGTTGCAGTTGGTGACTTGCCATCTTCTTGACTGGGAGGGGTTCCTTCCATTGTCATATCTGATGGGCTATCATCATGATCTCCAATTTCTTCAACCTCATCGTCTTGATTATCATTGGATTCACCCATTGATCTGTTTATTTTAAGACAGTACTTATTTTTTGATTGCGAATTATCTTCCGGACTAGAAACATCACGTTTCTGAGAACAGAGTTTGTCCAAAAATCTAATCCCAAGAATCTGACCAGACGACATCATTAAATTAACGTCTTCTTTTTTAACTGAAATCTTGGCTGTGTACATATAATTTAGCACTTCCTCAAATATATCTGACCGAAGGAAATCAATCTCTATTACTGATGAGCTGTCAACTTCCAGTTTTTTGAAAAGCTTTTTAAAATAGGTACTACAAGCAGCAAGCACACACCTGTGGGCCCTGAATTTCACGTCTTCAACAACAATAGCGATGTCACAAAATTCTCCTTCCAATCGCTGCTCATTTAATGTTTTCAGAAATACAGTTTTGTGATCGTCGTCATTATATTTAATGGTTTCAGACATACTGAGGAAAAACTCCTGCAGAAAAATTATGAAAATATTTATTTGTAAGCTACTCTGACAAAACAAAAGACATTTTGAGAAATGTAGTATTAGATCTGAACTTTATAACTCAGATTTGCTCAACAACATTTCAAGCAATTAATAACCTTTAAAAATCTCAATACAGTGGTACCTCGGGTTACATACGCTTTACGTTACATATGCTTCAGGTTACAGACTCCACCAACCCAGAAATAGTACCTCGGGTTAAGAACTTTGCTTCAGGATGAGAACAGAAATCGTGCTCCAGCGGCACGGCAGCAGCAGGAGGCGCCATTAGCTAGTGGTGCTTCAGGTTAATAACAGCTTCAGGTTAAGAACGGACCTCCAGAACGAATTAAGTACTTAACCTGAGGTACCACTGTAGACACAAAGCTGATCTACCTATTATTGTATAAGCATCACAGGTGCCATTCTTCTCTAAGAAAGTGGGCAAGTGAACTGTGGACCACAGTCATAAATACTTTAGGATTTCCGGCTTGCCTGCAAGTTGTCCACTGGTCTAGATTGAACATCATCTGGGATAATGAAAGGTTGCATCCCAACACAATGCTCAGCAGTGCGGCCAAACATATAAATCCTTCCTTCCAACTATGTTTGGAAGGCAGCAACAACAAATCTGAGTTTGAAGGGCAAGAGCTGAAGCAGGAGGAGTAGAAAGTGCTGAGAACGGGAGAGGAAGACAAAAGGTATGAAGTGAGGGAGAGGAGAGGCAAAGAGGAAATGGTCCTCCCTTCTCTTGACTCTTCCCAAATATGCCCCATCATTTCACTGGCAAACTTGTACGGTCATACCTTGGAAGTCGAACGGAATCCATTCTGGAAGTCCAATTGACTTCAAAGTGTTCGACTTCCAAAGCGTGCTTCTGATTGGCTGCAGGAAGCTCCTACAGCCAAACGGTGCCCTGTTAAACGTTCGGCTTCCAAAATAACCTCAAAAATTGGAAAAGTCACTTCCGGGTTTTGATTGTTCAGGAGAAAATATGTTCGAGAACTAGGTTGTTCGAAAACCAAGGTAAGACTGTATAGGCAATTACCTAATGACTAAAATAATTTACTGAAGCAGAAAATTAAGGAAATGCAAAAAAGAAATATTAAGACTGTACCATGAACAATGAAGGATTTTTTTCTTAATATCTGAACAAAATGTTGATGGTAGGTTAACCTTTATCCTGAGGACCCTGAACCTGAAAGAGAAAACGATGAGGTATCTTTTAAAAGAGTATTATTTTTCTATTATCCCATTTTTCCTTTAAAGAGTTCAGAATAGTCTACCAGGTTGTCCCTTTTATGAGTTAGAGGAGGCTGAGAGGAGTGGTGAGCTTCATTGCTGAGTAGGGATTTGAACCCAGATCTGACTCTGTAATTTACACCACACTGGCTTCCATGTCTTTATTGCTAGTATAGTATTTCTACATTAAAATCAACACAACTTATTTCTGAAAGCAGAATCTTTGCATACTTGCAAGGACAAAATGCACAGCAGATCCTATAGTTCCATATAATCCTACTCTCTCACAATTTAGGCCACAATTTCCAAGATAGGCCATTCTCCCTGCTGAGGTTCTGATATCAGAGATCAGGCATGTTTAGGGTAGTATAGTTGTAGACTGGGCACTTCTATGCCTTTAACGTGAACATCAGCAACTACTCACCTATAGGCCTGCAGGATATTTATAAAAACACTAGTAACTTGTGTGGTGGAGACTTGGGGAAGAGCAGGAACTGCACACATACGTGTACGTGTGTTTGTGTGTAGAGAACAGGAATGTGGCTCATGTACATATGATTCAAAGGGGGGGGGAGTTTCAAATTGTTCCAGCTATGGATAACTTTTATTAAGCAAATTATTTCTGCAAGTATATGAAATATTCCACTGTAAAATCTGGTACAGCAGCAACTGTATGGAATTTTGATTTTGTTGTTTATCCTTTGACTTTATTTTTAAGCAGTAAGAAGACCAAGAAATGAAGGGAAATATATAGATGTTTTTATCTCTTAAAGCATAAATCGTTGCCTCTTGGGTTTCTGGTTTTTATTTTCATTTGTTCCACTTTTTCTGTTTCACAAAATCCAAGCAAGTTATTCATTTGTATCAGATTCTGGTTGCTCACAGTCATTAGCAAAGGTGTTATGTCTGATGTGTGTCTTGCCTAATACATGTCCTGTACGCTTGCTGGCTTTTATTTCCCTTCCAAATAGCATTGCATTGCAAAGTTGCAGGTGATGTTTTGCGCAGGCTTCCTCAACCTCAGCCCTTCAGATGTTTTTGGCCTACAACTCCCATGATCCTTATCAGGATCAGGCATGTTCAGGGTAGTATAGTGGTCAGGAATGATGGGAACTGTAGTCTCAAAACATCTGGAGGGCTGAGGTTGAGGAAGCCTGGTTTAGCTTCACAAAAGCAAGTAGTTTAGACTTGTGTGTGAAAAAAGTCTTGTCATGGGCCATGCCAAGAAGGTGGCACCACCAAAGGCACCACCTGCCATTGTCAAGCCCACAATGGTTGATATTGCAGGAGGTGCTTCTTTAAATACTTTGGTCCAAAGCCATTTAAGGCTTTGTGCGCTAGTACTAGCACCTTTAATTATTACTATTAACAGACAACCCTAGGAGCGGATAAGAAGGGGATGGGTTGCTCCCCACTAATGGAATGTCCACCCTGATGAGATGCATCTGCTTCCTTCATTATTAACATTCAGCATGCCTTCAAAAACATTCTTGTTCTCTTGATGACTGAACTGTTACTGGAAACTCTCGAGTTTCTGAGTGTTACATTTTCATATACTTTTCATTTTAGGGAATTCAGACAACACCTCTATCTGTTCAGCCCACATGAGACAGGGTTCTTGGGCAGATGGCTTGGCATATCCATCTGACAAATCAGAGCAGGAGGCAGGACTAGTACAGGTGGCTCTCCAACCCACCCATCAAATTTCTTGAATATATTGGGAGCGGAACCATCTGAGCGTAACTATTGTTAAGCTTGCTAGATTTAAGAAATACAGTATGACATTTTTTATACAAAAAAACCTGCATGTGGGAATCCTGTTGCAATCAATTTTTTCCCCACGTAAACAGATTTCAGTTTTGTTTATTTACTGAAATGCCTACTCCTACCCTTCAGTAGCCACTCAGCCTTCTCAGAGTATGCAAATATATTCAATCTAATGGAACTAAAGCAAGACTAATAAAGCAATCCCATAACTGTCTGCTTGCATCCAGTTCAGTAGCTTCGTCTGAAGGTGATCTTAAACTCTTATATCTAGGGATATAGGAGTTTAAGATCACCTTCTAGGGACCTTGGACAAACTACTTTTTGATGTACTAAGTATTTTAGTTATCAAAGCTACCACTTTAAATTTACTCACATAACTTTTTAAATAAAATGTGATGACGTACACTTTTTGTGCTTTTAAAGGAAACTAAAATTGAGATAAACCCTAACTGCAGCAATGTTTATTTAAAGAACATGGTTTACTACCATCGCAATAAGCACCATAGACTAGTTTCTTGAATACATCCTCAAACAATCCCCCACCCCACCCGCGCCCCCTAAATCAGATTTGAATTAAAGAGGGCGAAAGCATAATAAACACTCTTACTCGGAAATCAACACCGCGACAACCATTATGAGTCAGTCCCGATTCCTATTTGTTTCGTACTGAACCGATGGCGATTTTTTCCTCTATAGGCGAGCAAGAGCGTGCATTCGCGGCGTGCACGTACTGGAACACAACTCCTCCTCCGGCAAGCAAGCGAGCAGCGCGCGAGTAACCATGGAGCAGACGTGCACGGTGCATACTCGGTGCATGCGTGCTAGTGCCCGTTCGGGGACGATGCCTGTGCCCCCGCTAAGACGGGGCTGCAGCGGAGTGGAGCGCACCCTCGCCTCACACGCGCGGCTCCCCCGTCCTATTCCGCCCGCCACCGAAGAGGCGGAGCCCAGCAAGGCCCGCGCGCGCGGGAACGGGGCGAAAGGCGCTGCTGGCCCCGCAGCCACCGCTCGCGCTCGCGCTCCCTCGCCGAATGGGGGGCGGCGGAGAACGGAAGGAAGGCAGGCAGGCAGGCGGGGTGGGGGCGCTGCGGCAACCGCTTCCCTCCGGAGAGCGCCCTCGGCCGCCGCCGAGAAGGCGGCCCTTTCCTGTCGGGACTGCCCCGAGTGGCGCGAGGCAGCCTAGCAGGCCCGAGCCGGGCGGCGCGCGCGGGAGCAGCTGCTGCAAAAGGGCGGCGCGCGGCGGAGCCTCCCCAGTGCACCTCCCTCTCCCCCCGCTCGCCCGGTTCCGCCAGCCTAGCCTCGAGTGCGCGCGCAGATGCCCCTCGCGCTTACCTGCCACGCTCGGCGAAGGGACAGAATATGGGGAGGGGAGGGGAGGAGGAGGAGGGGGGTGGCCGCGGCCGCAGCAGCGCTCCGCTCCGAGTAAAGGGATATTTTGGGGGGGATTGGGGGGGGGATGGGATGTAAGGGGAAATGGCGCGCGTCTCTGACCGTTACCGCCGCTTCCTGCACGAGCATTCAGTGCGCGCGCGCGGCGGCCAGAGGAGGCGCGCCGGAGGCGGGAACGTGCATGCGCGGTGCGAGCAGGGCGCGCCCCCCGCAGGGAGAGAGCGAGAGAGAGGAGGGGGCGGGTGCTCCGATGAGGAGGGAGGCCGCTCATTCGCGCAGGTGGCCTGGAGGGGGCAGAACGGGGAGCCCGACCAGCCATTCTGAGGCGGCCTCGGCGGGCTCACGCACACGGGAGGGCCGGCCGGGCGCTTTCGCCGCGCGTCGCCATGGCCGGGGCCGCGCCGAGAGTTGAAGCGGCCTCGAGAACCATATTAAAGTGCGTGCGCGCGTGCGCGTCTCTCGCTCCCATTCTCTCCAGAGAGAAGCGTCTTGTCTGCCTGGGCCTGTGAGCGCGCGCGCGCCATTGCTCGCCGGTGTGATGTCAGAGCGAGCGGTTACGTGGGAGGGCGGCAGTGCCCGCTTTTCCCTTCGCTGAGGGAAGCGTAACAAAGCCGCGGACTGAAAGCCCCGAGTCTCTCGCGGCTACTGCAGTCGAAATCCTCCCCAACACAATTTCACGGCTGTGCTATCCGGGTCTTTGTGTCTCCCCGCTTCGCCTGCATCCACCGTTAAATCTGAGGGGGCAGAGCCGGCCGCGCGCACTTCGCGCCCTTTCGAGGAGGTTTGGGCTCCTCAGACTTGTCTCCTTTTCTTTCCGGTGAATATGCTCGTTTTTCTCCCGCCCCCCAAGAGAAAGAGAGCCTTGTATGTATGTGTTCGTGTGCTGCGAATACAGTATTACAAAGATAAAAAGCATGAGTTTCCTGGTTGGGAGGACCTAACTAGACTTACTGAAAATAGTAAGTGTGGTAGTGTGGTATTCTAAGCAAATAAATAAATAAATAAATAAATAAATAAATTTGCTTTCCGCAGCCAGGTACAGTATTCAGCAGCCCTTACATGTCCTTTATTCTTGGGTGCAAATTAGTTTGTGAAAGCTTTCAGGCTGCTGAGCCACTAGTGCTCGATCCAGGTTTTGTGAGGCCCTTGAGCAACAGTACCTCAAATATCTGACCTTGTGCGTTCTTTCAAGATATAGTAATCCTAATCCTCTATATTCCACCACGTCCAAAATCGTCTAGTGATTATTTCCTCCTTCCTGGGGCTGAATCTATCCATATTTTAAGTTGGCCCCCTATTAACTGGCTAGAGTTCGGTGGCAGAGCACATGCTGTGCATGCAGAAGGTCCCTGACGTTTACTGGTTTTTTAAATTTATGTATATTTATTAAATTTGTATACCGCCTTTTATCCAAAGACCACAGGTTGGTTCACAACATAAAAATACTAAATGAGAATACTAAATATGTAACAAACAACAAAAACAAATCAGTAACCCCCACTTCCACAAATGTGTTTAAAAACCGTAGGTGGTTTATTTACCCAAAGGCCTGGTTCTAGAGAAACATTTTCACCTGACACCTAAAGATAATGTAATGAAGGTGAGCCTCTCTGGGGAGAGCATTCCACAAGCAGTGAGCCACCTCAGAAAAGGCCCAATTGCTACGTATTTTCAAAAACTCCTTGACCAGTGAAATTTTTTTTGCTGTGAAATCATTTGGAAGCAAAGCCATAGACTTTCAGTTTTGCTATTTAAAGCTGAAACAGGTGAATTTTGTGAAGATCTTTCCCCAGAATAGTGATTGAGGTTTACCCTAGTGCAGAACTGGTCCTGTTTAGGGTTTGTATGAGATTGTTGTATGTTAGGGGTTGTATGTTTAATCGTAGAATCATATCATTGTAGAGTTGGAAGGGACCATGATCATGCAACCCCCTGCAATACAGGACTCTCTTTCCCAGTGTGGTGCTTGAATCCTTGACCCTGAGGTTAAGAGTATTCATGCGGTACCAACTGAGCTAAAGCTCAGTGTAGAATAGAAAGGTGGTAGAAGGACTGGCTGAGCATTCAGATTCTCATCTGGCCACACTTGCTTTAATAGGACTGTATGCTAATTTTTAAGTGGGATTTTATTTTAAAATACAGGTTTTCCCCCACTACTTATTTTGTTTCCTGTTGTCTCTTGAACGTAGGGCTATTGTACACATTGAGAAAGCATTACAGCTGTTTCTGTCAGATTTCTGAAGTGTAATTCATGTACAGTATCTAATATCATGAAAAACACCTTATGAATTATCAACTTGCCTTGTGTTTTGGACACAATAAAAGGTTGGAGTCCATGTTTTGTTGCTTTCTGAATGAAGTTGAAGTAGCTGGGGTCTATGTAGATTGGGTACAATTCTATGAACCCGTAATGAAAGCACACTGAACACAGTGGGGCTTGTTGCAAAAAATAATAAAATAATAAAATGCATAAGAATAAATTATTAGAGAGCCAGGCACCGCCCCACACATTGTGAAATGCTGCCTTGAGTCTCCCGGAACCTAGTCTAACAGTTATAAGCATTTCACTACATTGGCTTTCTTAAGTACATGGGCCTTGTTTTATTGCTTAATAATTATTATACGGTATACCGCTTCCAAAGCAGAGAACGTGCAGTATACATGCTAAATGAAAGGCACTGGATTGTGGCCTTCTGTTTCAAGTTATGATTCTCTCACATACCCTCCAAATGTCCCGATTTTCCAGGGGCAGTCCCAGAATAATGAAAGCCATTCTGGATTTTGATTTGATCCCAGAGTGTTCCTTTTTCCTCTGCTAGTGTTGCTGTTGCTGAGCTCAGGGAGTAGGATGAGCTGGCACTTGTCCCGAATTACGACAATGGGGGTGACGAGGGAGCATCCAATTGCCTCTCTGTGGCTGTTACTGCTGGCCTCCTTCATTGGGCATTTCATAGCTGCTGGAGAGTGGACCCAGACCTGCATGATATGCCAGCTCTGAGTGGCAGGCACTGGGCAGGGCTGCCCTGGGTGGGAAGAAAGTTATAGTGGAGTGGAGATTGAAGTCTTGATTTTTTTAAAAAAATGCTTTGTGTGGCAGCGTCTAATCTTGCCCCCTTCTAAAATTTATAAAATCAGGATTAAGCGGTTTTCTCAGAACAGTGGAGGGTGTGTGTGCTGTGTCCCATTGGTGTAGTGGTGGTAGCATTTTCCCTTCTTCTGATATGGAATGCTGTGGTGAGGGGACAAAAATGGGGAGCTGTTAAGGGTCAGGCGGCAGGGAGTGAAAAATGTCCCGATTTTCATCTGAGGAATGTTAGAAGGTATGTTCTCATGCTGCAGTGTAATAACTATACCCTTCCATTTTGGAATAACCAGAATTTTTTATTTTATTTTGTGGCAATCAGTGAACTCATCCAAGACATTTATGGCTATTTTAATATAAATATGAGTAGAGACAGGAATCCTGACAGAAGGTGGGGCAGGAGAGGCAGAAGATTGCAAATACAGCCCTTACAAGAAAATTAGTTGTGATCTAAAGGATCAGTTATATGCAGAAATGGAGAATTGGTGGAGCAGGAAACTGCTGAACTGGCAGTAGAAGCAGGAGGGTTTGGGAACATGGACAAAGGATAAAGACAGTGTCTATGGCCAGAGGAAGGATGGGATAAAAACTGGAAGAAAACATAAAAGGACTTGGCTTAAAAAGGCCCAAACCCAGAAAAATGTGACCAGTTCAAATACGCAGTTTTGGGTTGATCACAATTATCCAGTTTATTAAATGATTTCTTCATGAAGACAGCTAAGGTTCAGTTTTTAAAGCTGACCTTCAACATATAAATGCACATTTAAAAATGCTTATATTCCTTCAGCTTAGTTTCTTTCATAGTCTCAGCGTTTAGAAACATGACTGTTAATTTGTTTCTAGGAGTATTTTATTTTATTTATTGATTTTATATACTGCCCTACACCTGCAAGTCTCAGACTGGAACATGTTGATTTGGAATTCAAAATGTAACATGTTGCATTTCAGTTCCCCCATTCTGGCTGTAGCCTTTCAGGATGCCAGAAATCTCACCCAATTGCTTTTAGGGCACCCTTCTATCGGACATAGCATTTTTATAAGAAAACAAGAACTTGCTATCCTTTCTTCCATGGTCATGCAAATGTACTTTTCACCTGGGGTCTGTGGATCCTGGCGACTATATGTAGACATGTACATATGCTGTATGTATTTGCTGACACAC